CATATTTGTATAACCTCTTGTTGACATTTCAGTGTTAGTAATCACTATTTTCTTCTCTCCCCTAGCACCTTTCCCCTCTCCCACTCTCCCAGTATAGTTATATAATTTTGATTAGATTAACATTTACTGTTTATATTATTATGGCTATGTAAGCCATTTGCTAAATTGTTTACTTTTCTTCCTTGCACAGATTTTTGTATGTCTTGGCATGAATAATTAGCTTGTTTTCTTTTCAATGTACTTGCCCCCAAATCAACTGTAGAGTCAGTGTTCCAAAGTTCTTATGAAATTCTGACACATCAGGAATTAGTTTCACCTTTTTGAGGAAATCTAAAGCAATTGTCTTCTACGCATGTTGTATAGTTTTTTAAAAAAATTTTTTTATTTTTATCATGGTATCTCCGTACACTGTCCAAGGATTCCCTTCTCCTTTCTCCTATGTTGGATCTGCTTTATCCTGTATCCATGTCATGTTCTTTCTTGATTTATTCTCTTGTTTTGTTAGAGAATATCCTTGAGTAGCTTTCTTGGAAAGGGGGCATGGAACTCAATTTGAGACCTTGAAAGTCTAAAAATATATTTAATTGAGCCATCATGAAGGCTGCTAGTTTGGGCATACAATTATTGTGTAAATTAGTTTTCTTCAGAATTTTAATGGCATTATTCCAATGAATTCTAGCTTCCAGTAGTATATTAAGAAGTCTAAAACCATATGGACTCCTGATCATTTGTATGAGGCTTGCCCTCCTTTACCGCCCTCTGCTGGAGACTTGTGGAATCTTCTAACTCCAGTATTTTAATATTTCATGTTGATGTGCCCTGCCAGGGATCTGTTTTTGTTTTGTTTTGTTTGTTTTTCCCCATTGTCTTGGGGCTTTTTTATTTTAGAAACTCATATTCTTCATTTCTGGGAAATTTTCTTGAACTGTTTAGTTGATTTCTTTATGCTATTTGCTCTATTTCTCTTTGTGGAACTTTTATTTGGATATACTATACTTTATATAAGATTTCCTCAGATGATCTTTAAACATTCTATTAAGCTTTTATTTTTGAATGTTAAAAGATATCTAATAAACAAATTGAGTATTTTTGGCCAAAGGATTAAGACTATAGTTAGGCTGGCTTTTAAGATCACTAACATATTGCCCTAGCCATTTTGGCTCAATGAATAGAGTGTCAGCCTGTGGACTTAAGGAACATGGGTTCGATTCCAGTCATGGGCACATGCCTGGGTTGCGGGCTCGATCCCTAGTATGGGGCATGCAAGAGGCAGTTAATAAATGAAATGACAAAAATATTTTTAAAAAATCCCTAAGATCTTGATATTTTATAACTGTGCCTACACTTAGAATGTGGTTTAACTTGTCCCATAAACCTTCAGTTCTCTTTATACCTATCATCTCCTAAAGAAAATGTGTGGACTCTACTCGTTGTACTGCCTCAGAAGTGATCACATCTGTTCATTTTGTGCATCCCAATGCCTGTCACACACTGTTTTACGATTGATTGCACCTACCAAGGGCAAGGTGATAGGAAAAAAAGATACAGACAACTCAGAAACATTCTTTGCATCAAGGATCAAATAAATTTCAAATAGACATATAAAGAATCTTTCTATTAAGATTTCTCTTTCTGCTATTATGTTTTTAATTTCCAAATGGTCTATCTTTACAAATAGCATTTATCTCTCATTGAGACTTTCCTTGATGACTCTATTTAAAATTGCATTCCTAAATCCGACCCCATAATTTGTAGAATATACCTTTCATGAGGGTAGAGGTTTTTTCCTATTTTTTCCCCCCACTAGTATTTTACCAGAATCTCAAAGTGTCTACCAAATAGTAAATGTTCAAATATTTCTGGAATAAGCTGGATTATCTTTCTGATGGTATTAAAAATATACATTTAAAATTTTCTTCTAGTATAGATCTATTTTGTGTGTGTGTGTGTGTGTGTGTGTGTGTGTGTGTGTTACCTTTTTGTATTTTTACTAGAGGCGCAATGTAACCTCTTGCAATCCAGGACCACTTGGGGGATATCTGACACCCCTCTTGCAATCTAGGACCGCTGGCTCCTAACCGCTGGCCTGCCTGCCTGATCACCCCTAACCCCTTGCCTGCCTGCCTGATCAACCCTAACTGCTCTCTTGCCTGTCTGATCATCCCTAACCACTTGCCTACCTGCCTGACCACCCCTACCCACCTCTGCCTGCCTGTCAGATCGCCCCTTACCACTTGCCTGCCTGTCTGATCACTCCTAACCACTCACCTATCTGCCTGCTTGACGGTCCCTAACCACTTGACTGCCTGCCTGCCTGATCACCCCTAACTGCCTCTGCCTTGGCCCCCACTACCACAGCTTGATATCCACAGACAGATATCCGGAAGATCGTTCAGCTGTATGGTCTAATTAGCATATTATGCTTTTATTGATATAGATTGCTCTTAGATTAGAAAGTTTTCTGCAGATATCTGGTGATACTTCATAATCTGTTTGTATTTAAGAATGGGAGTTAAAAGCTGACTGGATAAAGGAATAAATGGATGGGACTTGCAATCTATGGGCTTCATGGTAGAATGATCTTGGTTGGCTGTGGGAAGCTGCACCGCCATGGCATACTCAGCCCCAAGGTGCCTTATGTGCCTCGCTAGCTCAGCCCAGTTCAGTGACCCTGAGTGGGGGCGGCTGAAAGGCTTAGAAAAGACAGACAAGAGAATGAAAGCTGGGTCTCGGTGGGACACTGCTTCCCTGTTGGAGAGACAGCACCACGGACTACAAGCCCTGTCTTTATTTTATAGCCGATGCCAGGAGGCAAAGTAAGGGCGTGGTCAAGGTGTTTACAACATTCTCGTGGGTTTCAGTCCTACTCAATTACATGCACCTGAACTCTATCAAGCCCATATCACTCAGGCACATGGGACCACGTGTTCGGACCATCGGTTCAAGCTTACAACTGTGGCTATAACTGTGCTGGGAGGGCTCTGCCCTCCAAGCTGGGACTTGCATGTGGCCATGAGAGGACTGTGCCCTCTCGTTAGTCTAAGGCTTGAACCTGTCCAAACAGTGTAGCCACATCCCACATTTGGCCATCTTGTTGTATATTTCCTTATGTTTGTGTCTAGATCTTCCTTGCTGACTGGTCCAATTACTTGGAGCACATTCTTCCACTCTTTGGATGTAATAGTCTGGGAGCATAGAGGAAGAGGGCGGGAAGAGACTCAGCATCCAGAGTACATATGTTACTCATCTTCCTGTTTACAGTATGGCCCTCATGCCTTCATCTGGCCATCTTGGCTGGAAGCAAAAGTCAGTTTAATTAAATGGCATATTTATTAGTCTCCTTTTGTTAATAAAGGGTTGTTTTAACAAACACATTAATGCTGGTGCAAGGCTTTTCCCTTAAAATCACATATAGATTTTTTTGTTTGTGTTTTCATTTTGTTTTTAAAGTAGATGGTAATTTAAAGGTCCAGTCCCTGAGGACCTATAGACCAGGTCCTGAGATGTATAATCCTGAGGCTTTTGTCATTCTCTGTTGCTGCATGCTTTGTTATTGAAGGCTGTTCAAGGTCTCAACAACTTTGGAGTTTTGACCAAGCTGATTATTTCATAAATTTTAATGAAAGACAGATTGAGAGAAATCATTGATGGGGCCACATGGTTGTATATTCATGCACTGGCTTAGAATGGAAATCTCTATGAAATTACTGAGCTACCTTTGTGGAAAGCCTCAAACTCTATCTACTAGCTTGTCTGATCTAGCTAGGACAAATTAAGAATGATTTGCAAAAGCTTCTATGTTCCTGGCATATTGATATGATTTATTTATAAGGCACAGAAAACTGTCTAAATATTAGCACACATATTACATATTTGCAAATAAACAATATATAGTTATATAGAGCATGCTGCGCTTTTCTAAGGAATCTGTAAAGAATGTGGTTTAACTTGCCAGTGTGTAATAATAAACTTATTTTTGTGTGATTATGAGCTTTATTTATAATTCAATAGCAAATGTTTATTTTCATTAAGTTATAATTCAAATGTTTTTGGCTTAACTGAAATTTCCTCTATATCTCACACACAAAAAAATTAGACTGAAAGTTTCTTTTCAAAGATCCCCTTCAAATGGGACCAGATTATTTTAGAACAGATTTAATTATCCATCATAATAAGGATTAGGGAGCAAAAAGGAAATTGTTATCTTTGAAGAACTCCTAAATATCATTTTAGTCCATCACTTCAGCTTCCCCTACTGCTACCAGACCCACTCATTCACAGGGCACTATTGTTATTTTGGGATCCTGGCTCTTTTAGTTTCTTCAGCCTACTCACTGAGCCAACGAACAGTGTAATAGCCCAAAGCTAGGGAGAACAAAGGATCTAGATTATTTGAAACCAAAAAAATTAACAGCAGAATAATGACTGTTTTTCCTGTGCTGGGTTCCATTTTTTAAAATTTTTTTTCAAAGAGTGTTTTTTCTTACCATTTACACTTTCTTAATCACAACAGCCTATATAAATACTTGTATATTGGGTGGGATAAAAACGAAAAAAGGGATTAGAAAAAGCATGTATTCTTTTTTTTAAAAAAATTAAGCCTTTAGATGGACTTTAACAACTTAGATATGTTAAATACTATTCCTGCCTTAGCCTGTATGCTTAGTGTTTAGAGCATTGGCCCACAGATTGAAGGGTTTCAGGTTCGATTCTGGTCAAGGGCAAGTACCTTAGTTGCAGGCTCAATTCCTTAGCCCCAGTTGGGGTACAGGTGGAATCAGTCTATTAATGTGTAACTCTCACATCAATGTTGATGTTTCTCTCTCCGTTTCTCCCCTTTCCTTACACTCTTTCTAAAAAAAAAAATCAGTGGAAAAAATATCATTGGGTGAAGATTAACAAAAAGAAAAAGTAACAAAACATGCTATTCCTAGTTAACAAGTAGAAGTTGTATTTTATTTTGTTTTTGGTGGTCTTTAACGGTATGTTTTTCTTTTCAGCAACTAAGTCAGGATTGTTACCTCCACCACCTGCGCTCCCTCCAAGACCTTGTCCATCACAGGTAGGAGACAGATGTTGATGTCTATAAACTGTTGGGTGGTAGAGAACAGTTATCCTACCACTGTGCTTCCTTTGTGCGGGTGGATCACCACACAACTGGCCAGTCAGGTTCCCAAGATTTGAGAATGGTTAAATTTCTTCTTATTTTATTTTAATTAATTTCTTTATTGATTAAGGTATCACATATTTGTCCTCAACCCCTCATTCCAACCCCCCCCTCATACCCCTCCCCCTATTGTCCTTGACCACTGGTTAGGCTCATATGTGTGCACATAAATCTTTTGGTTGATCTCTTCTTATCTAGCTAGTCCCCTAACCTCATGTGGAAAAGGGAAAGTTTTCTCAATAAGCAACCAAGCAAATGTGTACTAGTTCAGTCTTGGCTGTAAAAGGTTGCATGTGGTTTTCATACAGACAGGGAGTAGTAAATGGGGCATCTCTCTAATTGAGGTGGGGGACATGGTTTTTCTGTATAGCGTGTGTACTCCTGGTGCCTATAGTTTCATATGTATTTTAGGAGCTGTGTTAATTCTGAATAAACTAAAAAGAAATGCTTATTAACCCAGGGTTAGTGTTGAGGTTTGGGCCCACTGTGCTTTCTTTAGGATAGTATTTTCCCTTGGAAAAATAAGCTGAAACGGCAGGAATTGGGAAAACATGTCACCAAAAGCTCTTCACCTATGAATTTATTCTGCCTTATTTACATGTGCTGCTCTGGCCTTATTCATCACTATTCTTTGTAGAGTTGAAAATGAGAAGCAAGCAACAAATTTGTGGAGTGTGGTAAAGAGTGCGACAGATCCTTCTTTTCATTAATTTCTGCTTAAGAAACTTTCTGTCTTTAAAGACCTTCTCTGACTTTTGGCAGAAAATGTTGGGCAATTTCTCAGCAAGTACTCCTAGTTTCTAACGTATCACTCTGGGTAGTTCAGAGTGTACCTTTCCATATGGAGCATCTCAGGACTCGCTGAGTCACTGAAACCACTTAACATTTGCTTGTCCTTTTAGAGAATTGGATGGTTTTTGGCATCCACTCAAACCTGAGATGTAAATACCGTGAGGTATTGATTTCCTGCTTCAGTTTGAAGTGGAATAAAAGCCCTGTTCTTCCTTACCACATATAAACAAGTGAGAACCTCGTTTCCGATACTCCAGCAATGGCTTTAAGAGATGTTGTTGGGTAATCTGTCAATAAGTATTTATCAAGTCTCTGCTATATATCTAATGCCAAGCTTTAGTTCCACCCTAAGCATTTTTTTCTGGTTATAATTTCTGCTCGTTTAATTGACTCTGTATATTGAGCATTTACAATAGACCTGGCATTAAGCAGAGTGCTTTCAATGCATTCTTTCATCTTCACAAAAACTCTATGGCATCAGTACTAATATTATCCTTTTTGTTTTTACAGATGAGGAAATTGAAGCATACAGGGATTAAGCAAGTCACCCAAGGTGACATAGCTAGTAAATAGTAGAGTCAGCCCCCAAACTGAGGCCCATCCCCTGCAGGTCCCTCCCCGGTTCTCCCCTCCTCATCATTGGAGTCAAAATGTCTCTGTATACAGAAAGACAGTGATCCATAACACTGGCAACTGAGGCTTTCACCACATCCCCCTAAGGAGGACCTAGATGAGATGAGGCTCTGGATTTGCACCAACAGCAAACCTGGACTTTGTCACAGCAAAATTAGTGGGCATTCTGCCAGCTGCTGCTTCCAAACTGGGGCTTGGGAGTCACCTGGATGAATGAATGGAAGGCCTGTCTGAAAGGGCTTTTGTGACCAACCTCCTTATCTTCCCCCTGCTGTGCGAGAGCCAATAGTTACTTCTCCTTGTGCTTCTGCTATCAGCAGTCCTCATCTGAGCTTCTGGAGGTGGGCTTCCTGCTTGCTTTGGGGCTTAGTGACCCAGGGTCTGACAGGAGCTGGGAATTCTCAAGTCACTGTTAATGTAGGAGACTGCTGCCTTGTCTGCTCCATTTCCCATCACAATGCAAACAATGAGCCCAGCACTCAGCACAAGTCTTCAGCTCAGCTGCCTAGCTATGGAGATCTTAGACTACAGAAACAGGTGTGTCAGAATGCAGGCAGGAAGCCCGCGCCCCTCCCTCCACTCTCCATCTTTCCTTCACTGTAAGTGAGGCACGCATATTCAAAGGAGGAGGCCCTGGGTAATAAACACATGATTGTCTTTAGTCTGAATATTGGTCCAGGAAAAACTCACCTAAGCAGTTGTGTGTTTCTGTGTTCCCCAAACTACATGTGATGAAAAGGTCTCTGGGAGACATTCCCAGGACCCTGTGGTAAGACACATTTGCAGGCTGTTGCCTCTGCACCGGCTCTGGGAGATTCCCAGTGCATATGAGCCTGTGAAAGGCTTTGAAGTCCTACAATAAAGAAACCTGGTCAATTTTGTTAAAGCTGGCAATTTCCTAGCTTGTGTGACCATTCATCTCTTTATTTTTAAAATACTATTCATATCCGGAGGGCTTTAGTGGTTAGGAGACATTATTATACACCAGCCTTAAGGTATTGGTAAGAACCTTTCCAAACCCCTTTCATCTGTCACCTCATCTCTATATTATGTGATTAAAGCTAAATTTTTATATCTTTTGCTAATAGTTTTTTTTTTTCCTCTCTAGAAAATGAAAAAGAAAGTATACTGCACATTAGCTTGGGATTTCAAAAGTTGTTATGCTTTCAGTTTGTTGTGTTTCCTTCCTCCCTTTCCTATTCCTTCTTGCTTACTCTCTTATGAGATTGTTTTTACCACTAAACACTTTAACTTCTTCTGTGCTATTGAATATTTTTGAATGTTTCTTGGTCAATCTTCCTAACTTTGGGAAAAATATATATACAGAGTGGAGGAAAAGTAGGTTTGCAGCTGTTCACATGGAAAAAACATAATAATATGTAATAATCCTATATAATAAAAGGCTAACATGCAAATCGACTGAATGACCCAATGACTGGTGTCTGTGATGTGCACTGACCACCAGGGGGCAAATGCTCAATGCAGGAGCTGCCCCCTGGTGTCAGTGAGCTCCCACAGGGGGAGCACTGCTCAGCCAGAAGCCGAGCTCACAGTTGGTGAGCACAGAGGAGGTGGCAGGAGCCTCTCCCACCTCTGAGGCAGTGCTAAGGACCCCTTGGGGGGTGTCTGACTGCCAGCTTAGGCCCGATCCTCCTAAGCCAGCAGTTGGACATCCCCCGAGGGGTCCTGGACTGCAAGAGGGCACAGGCCAGGTTGAGGGACTCCCCCTCCCCAGTGCATGAATGTTGTGCACCGGGCCTCTAGTACACTAATAAACTGCATTTTATTAAATGCAATTGTAAACCTACTTTTCCCCCACCCTGTACTTAACTACAGATATTTCTTTTATGGGGCTTAAACTGTAGTGCCTAGGGTAGAAACCAGGAAGCCTGGTATAATTAAAATCATTATATTTATTAGTAGTTCTGAGAAGAGATTAAGAGAAATGTTTTTAAATTATTTTTGGCTTAAGATTTTCATGTTATTTTACTTGCTAAATGGTCAAAACTAGGTTGTAATAAATAAGAAAATGTTTTATTTCCTAGAAAGAAACACCTTTACAAACTGTATGACCCATCAGTGATGTACTTCCAGGTTTTAAGTGTATAAGAGAAAAGAGTTTGGCCCTAGCCGGTTTGGCTCAGCAGATGAGCCTCAGCCTGTGGACCCAAGGGTCCAGGTTCAATTCTGGTCAAGGGAACGTACCTCAGTTGCAGGCTCCTCCCCATCCCCTGGGCCTTGGTCGTGGTGCATGAAGGAGGCAACCAATCAATATATTCCTCTCACATCGCTATTTTTGTCTTTCCCTCTCTCTTCCAATTTCTCTAAAATCAGTGGGAAAATATCCTCGGGTGAGGATTAAAAAAAGAGTTCATATGTTTGCAGCTGTGTGCACAAAGGTATATTTAGATCATTCCTACATATACTAAAAGTATATCTCTACTGTTATTAAGTGAGAGAGATGAGTATAGGTTTTCAGCAAAAACACAGTTTAGCTGGCCTCTACTTACACTAAGCACCACTATGAACATCTGGATTAAGTTATACAAATGGGGCCCTGGAGTTAGGAAAAGGAATACATTCAGAGAAACAGATCTTTTTATTTTTCATACTGTAGGTAAGATCAAGAAGGACGCGTGACTGTGTGAAGAATCAAATGGTTGGTGTCCCACATTTTCCTGTGGACAGGCTAGAGACCAGGGCATGGTATTTTGGCTCAGCTCAGAAGAGGTGACACATTCTGTTTTTGTTTGTTTAAAGAGACTGATTCATAGCATAAATGACTAAAAGGTGATTAAAGGTAACTGCTTCATAGGAAGCAGTGTTAAAATGAGAGTTAGTTAAGCTTATTAGCTCACTGTGTGCATATAAACTAAATGAAATGCCATCTACAGAGCTGGTGCTTTTCCTGTAGATCAGTTCTCTGCTAAGGGCCTAGTTAGTACTTGAGGAGCTAAATCCCTTTAATAGTGTTGATCTCATGCCAAATTTCTTATGGCAATTGTAATAGAGCTGCAGCTTCAAAGTAATTATATTTACTAAAGAAAAGATTCTTTTTGATACAAAGCATAATCTGTTCAATTTTATATTAGCACCACATTTGATGAATCTGGGCTCCCTGTAGGCTAATGTGCTCAGAATTTTCCTATTTGTATCACTAATGGCTCACCTTATAATGGTAGGTGCTCCTCACCAGCAGTCTGATGAGTACTAAAGTAACACTATAAGAAGAAAGCATTGTGAGGGAAGCACTTTATCAATACTTTGAAGCTTAGAGAGACAGATAGGTTTTCATGGAAGGGCTGAGGTAAGGAATGAAATGAGTTTTATTTAAAAAAATTTTTTTGTTAATCCTCACTCAGGGCTATTTTTTCCATTTATTTTTAGAGAGAGAGTTGGAGGAAGGGGAGAGGAGAGAGAGAGAGAGAGAGAGAGAGAGAGAGAGAGAGAGAGAGAGAGAGAGAGAGAGA